GTGTTTCCATTTATTGGTACCTTCTTTAATTTCTCTGAAGAGTGTCTTGTAGTTTTCAGAGTATAGGTGTTTCACTTCCTTGGTTAGGTTTACTCCTAGGTATTTTATCCTTTTTGATGCAATTTTGAATGTAATTGTTTTCCTGATTTCTCTCTCTGCCAGTTCATTGTTAGTGTATAGGAAAGCCACAGATTTCTGTGTATTAATTTTGTATGCCACAACTTTGCTGAATTCAGATATTAGATCTAGTAGTTTTAGAGCAGATTCTTTAGGGCTTTTTATGTACAATATCATGTCATCTGCAAACAGGGACAGTTTGACTTCTTTATCGATCTGGATGCCGTTTATTTCTTTTTGTTGTCTGATTGCCATGGCTAAGACCTCCATCTAGTACTATGTTAAATAGAAGTAGGAAAAGTGGACATCCTTGTCTTGTTCCCGATCTTAAAGGAAAAGCTTTCAGCCTCTCACTGTTAAGTATGATGTTGGCTGTGTGTTTGTCATATATGGCCTTTTATAAAGTTGAGGTACTTGTCCTCTATACCCATTTTGTTGAGAGTTTTTATCATGAATGGATGTTGAATCTTATCAAATGATTTTTCAGCATCTATGGAGAAGATCATGTGGTTTTTGTCCTGCTTTTTGTTGATGTGATGGACAATGTTGATGAATTTTTGAATGCTGTACCATCCTTGCATCCCTGGAATAAATCGTACTTGATCATGATATATGATCATTTTGATGTAATTTTGAATTCCGTTTGCTTGTATTTTGTTGAGTATTTTTGCATCTATGTTCATCAGGGATATTGGTCTGTAATTTTCTTTTTTTGTGGTGTCTTTGCCTGGTTTTGGTATTAGAGTGATGCTGGCTTCATAGAATGAGTTTGGAAATATTCCCTCTTCTTCTACTCTTTGCAAAACTTTAAGGAGGATGGGTATTAGGTCTTCACTAAATGTTTGATAAAATTCAGCAGAAAAGCCATCTCATCCAGGGCTTTTGTTCTTAGGTAGTTTTCTGATTACCAATTCAATTTCCTTGCTGATAATTGGTCTGTTCAGATATTCTGTTTCTTCCTTGGTCAGCCTTGGAAGATTGTATTTTTCTAGGAAGTTGTCCATTTCTTCCAGCTTATCCAGTTTGTTAGCATATAATTTTTCATAGTGTTCTCTAATAATTCTTTGCATTTCTGTGGTTTCCATAGTGATTTTTCCATTCTCATTTCTCATTCTGTTTATGTATGTAGACTCTCTTTTTCTATTGGTAAGTCTGGCTAGCAGCTTATCTATTTTGATTATTCTCCATGAACCAGCTCTTGCTTTCATAGATTCTTTCTACTGTTTTATTCTTCTCTATTTTATTTATTTCTGCTCTAATCTTTATTATGTCCCTAATTCTACTGACTTTGGACCTAATTTGTTCTTCTTTTTCTAGTTTCATTAATTGTGAGTTTAGACTGCTTATATGGGATTATTCTTTCCTGAGGTATGCCTGTATTGCAGTATACTTTGCTCTTAGCACGGCCTTGGCTGTGTCCCACAGATTTTGCAGTGTTGAATTATTGTTGCCATTTGTCTCCATATATTGCTTGATCTCTTTTTATTTGGTCATTGATCCATTGGTTTAGGAGTGTGTTTTGAAGCCTCCATGTTTTTGTGGGATTTTTCATTTTCTTTGCATAATTTATTTCTAGGTTCATAACTTTGTGGTCTGAGAAATGGGTTGGTACAATTTCCATCTTTTTGAATTTACTGAGGCTGTTTTTCTGGCCTAGTATATGATCTATTGTTGAAAATGTTCCATGTGTACTTGAGAAGAATGTGTATCATGTGCACTTGAGAAGGATGTGTATTCTGCTGCTTTTGGATGAAGTGTTCTGTATATGTCTATTAGGTCCATCTGTTCTAATGTGTTGTTCAATGTGTCTGTGTCCTTACTTATTTTCTGTCTGATTGATCTGTCCTTTGGAGTGAGTGGTGTGTTGAAGTCTCCTAGAATGAATGCATTGCATTCTATTTCCCGTTTAATTCACTTAGTATTTGTTTCACATATAGAGGTGCTCCTGTGTTGGGTGCACAGATATTTATAATGATTATATCTTCTTGTTGGATTGACCCCTTTATCATTGTGTAGTGTCCTTTTTCTCTTGACTTTCCTTGTTTTAAAGTCTATTTTGTCTGATACAAGTACTGCAACTCCTTTTTTCTCCCTATTAGTTGCATGAAATAGCTTTTTCCATCCCTTCACTTTTAGTCTGTGTATGCCTTTATATTTAAGTGTGTCTCTTGTAGGTAGCATATAGATGGGCCTTTTTTTTTAATCCATTCAGTGACTCTTTGTCTTTTGATTGATGCATTCTGTCCATTTACATTTCAGTTTATTATTGATAGGTATGTACTTACTGCCATTGCAGACTTTAGATTAGTGCAGACAGTTAAGTTCCTTACTCTCTAAGAATCTAGTTTAACTCACTTAATATGCTACAAACACAATCTAAAGGTTCTTTTTTTTTCTCCTTTTTCTTCCTCCTCCATTCTTTATATATTAGGTATCATATTCTGTACTCTTTGTCCATCCTGTTATTCACTTTGCAGATAGTTAATTTAATTTTGCATTTGCTTAGTAATTAGCTGTTCTACTTTCTTTACTCTGGTTTTATTACCTCCAGTGACAGGTATTAAACCTTAGGAACAGTTCCATCTATAGCAGTCCCTTCAAAATACACTGTAGAGATGGTTTGTGGGAGATAAATTCTTTCAGCTTTTGCTTATTTGGGAATTGTTTAATTCTTCCTTCAAATTTAACTGATTATCTTGCCGGATAAAGTAATCTTGGTTTGAAGCCCTTCTGATTCATTGCATTAAATACATCATGCCACTCCCTTCTGGCCTGTAAGGTTTCTGCTGAGAAGTCTGTTGATAGCCTGATGTTCTTTCTTTTGTATGTGATCTTATTTCTCTCTCTGGCTGCTTTCAGTAGTCTGTCCTTATCCTTGATCTTTGCCATTTTAACTACTATATGTCTTGGTGTTGTCTTCCTTGGTTCCCTTGTGTTGGGATATCTGTGGATCTCCATGGCCTGAGAGACTATATCCTTCCCCAGATTGAGGAAGTTTTCAGCAGTTATCTCCTCAAGGACACTTTCTATCCCTTTATCTCTCTCTTCTTCTACTGGTCCCCTATAACGCAAATATTTTTCCTTTTGGATTGGTCACACAGTTCTCTCAATATTCTTTCATTCTTAGAGATCTTTTTTTCTCTCTGTGCCTCAGCTTCTTTGTGTTCCTCTTCTCTAGTTTCTATTTCATTTTTTGTCTCCTCCACCATATCCAGTTTGCTTTTATTCCCCACCATTGTGCTCTTCAATGATGGGAACTCCAACTGGAATTCATTCCTGATTTCTTGAATATCTTTCTTTACCTCCTTGAGTATGTTAATGATTTTTATTTTGAACTCCCTTTAAAGAACAGTCATGAGTTCCATGTCGTGTTTCTCAGGAGTTATATTAATTTTGCTTTGAACTGGGTTCCTTTGGCATTTCATATTTGTATATGGCACACTCTAGTGTCCAGAAGCTCTAGTCTCTGGAGCTGCTCAGGGCCTGAAGCAGTGTTGGGGGTTGCAGGGGAGTGGTATTGGTGCCTGGGGGGAGGAAAGAGCTGGTTCCTGCTTCCCGGCTGCTATGCCTGTCTCCACTGCCTGAACCAGTGGGTTGAGCACACAGGTATAAGCCTCTATGATTTGCATTTGTAGTTGCTGTAGACAGATCTTGCCTCTGGCTGGCCTAATGCCAGGGTATAATATGCTAGTTTGTGAGCCAGATGGGGCAGGCCAGGAGAAATGCGCAGTAGGCAGCATTTCACGGAGGGGGTCCTTGGAGCTGTGTAGCCAGCCAGGGAGCTGGAGCACCTGGAAATTGTGAAAACTCCCAACCTGCTGGGCAGAGTGCACCAAGACAATTTTGTCTACATGTCCTTTCTCCTGAGCAGTAAGCTCTGTGTAATCCTTGCCCCTTTAGCAGCCCTCTTGCTAAGATCTTCCTTGTTAGGAAATCTCTCAGCCTGCCTGCCTTTCTTTTGACCCAGTGTGGCCGGATATGGATCCCTGCTTTCCACAGGCAGCTGAAATCTCAATCTCTCCAGGAATTTTGCCTGGCTTAGCTTTCCAGTCGCCTAATCATAAGAGAATCATGAAAGCACCATGAAATGTAGGTTTGTTCTCCCAGAGCAGATCTCCCGAGTTAGGTATTCAGCAGTCCCAGGCCTCCCCTCCCTCCCCACTCCATTTCTCTTCCTCCCACCAGTGAGCTTGTGTAGGGGAAGGGCTTGGTGGCCATGATTTTGGTACGTTACCCTGTTCCATGAGTCTGCTTGTTTCTCCAGGTGTATGCAGTCTGGGGCAGCCCTCTGTCCTGTTGCTCTTTCAGGATCAATTGTATTAATTGTGTTTTCGTATTATATGCAGTTTTAGGAGGAAACCTCTGTCTCACTTCTTGCGCCGCCATCTTTAATCCACTGGTGACTTTGACCGGCATGTGCTTTCTCTTGTATTTTCTGCCTCCCTTAGGATATGGCAATTCCTTGAGAGCAGAGGCCATGACTTGCACCTGTTAGTATTGCCCACCTCCAGATGATGTATGGCTTAGCTTTATTGCAGTCTGTCTACACATATTTGTAGGTAATGATGCTCCTTGTGGAGAACTTTAAAAGTTCATCAGATGTGGGTTATAACTTCTCTTACTGTCTTGGGAATCTTTTGTTCTAAATTATTATCTTCTAGGAAAGAAAGAAAGAAAAAAACTCTGTCCGTCTACTAAAAGTTTGAATTCTGAAGATTTCTCTTTCCTTGTCTCGTGTGAAATATTTCCTGAGATCTTAATTCATGCTGAATTCTCTACTAGAGGCTGTAAATACAAAAGAGGAATAAGGCATAATTTTTTTGCTGCCTTATGGTTCAGTAAGTACCTGCTGTACCCATCTCTCTGACCTAATTTCATTTCAGACACATGGCAAAGGAGGGAAGAAAGTCATCCAGACAGATGAATGGAGAAATGGCTCCATTGAGGAACGCCTTGAATATGCCCTTGTGAAGGTGAGTTGTGGGGGTGCTGAGTGCATGTGACCTGGAGATTGGAGGCTTCTGTCATCATCTGATGTTGTGTCTGGAGGGTGGTGGTGATAGGTGGCAGAGGACATTCCCTGGACTGCCCCTGGGTGACTGCCTCCCCCCAGCCCCTGTTCTGGCGCATTTGGTCAGTGACATTTTTGGTTGGCACAGCTGTGGGTGGGAGGCGTTACTGGCACCCAGTGGCTAGGGGTGCTGCTAAACACCGTACAGTCCACAGGATGGGCTCACATTGCAAAGAATTGCTCAGCCCAAAATGGCAGTAGTGTCAAGGTTGAGAAATACTGCCCTAGAACAAGCTGCTGTCATTCGATCAACGAGCAAGTCCTGGCTCTTCTGCTGATAATTGGAATTTTAGGCAAGATACGTAATCTCTTGGCTTCAGGCTCCTCATTTGTGAGTCAAGAATTTCAGAGTTCTTTATTTGGCTCTAGAATTTAAGTTTAACTTGTTGAACCTTTTCTGATTCACATATCTCAGATTGTGGAGCTGGTCAGCCACATCCAAGGATCCTTCAACTGGCAACACTGGAGGATAGGGCTTGATGAGTAAAGTCCAGATAAGTCAGTGGAAGTTTCATGAATTTGAACTTTGCCTAAGGGTCCTGCCCACTGTCATTCCTCCCCTAGCCCTATAACATTACAGTGAGAAAACATACTGACTTCACGGGAGATATTTATTAATGTATAATATGTTTAATCACTAGGATTAAAGGTGAATTTGATTATGAATTTAAACTTTACTTCCTACTCTTCCTCTCACCAGTAGCTGACTTTTACTGAGCACCTACTTTGTAGCAATAAAGCCAGCCAAGTATTTTACATAGGTTATCTCATTTATCCTCTGAATAACCACATGAGCTAGGTACTGTGTCATATTTCAGTTTAGGAAGCTGAGATTTAATGAATTGTCTAAATAAGTGACAGGAGCCAAGACTTGAACCCATGTCATCTGATTTCAGAACCTGCACTCTTAGGCATTTCCATGATTCACTCTTTAATAACTATGTGGACCTATGCTAACTTTTTGTTTTATTCTTTTCCTTGTTCTTTTTTTTTTTTTTTTTTGTAGGGCATTGAAAAATACATTATTGAGGATACTGAGGAAGCCAGGTTAAACCTGGAAAAATATCCCCGACCTCTGAATATAATTGAAGGGCCCTTGATGAATGGCATGAAAGTTGTTGGTGATCTTTTCGGAGCTGGAAAAATGTTTCTACCTCAGGTTGGTAAAAGATGGGGAAATCTTCACAATTCAAAGAAAATGTCTATGTCTTTGAATAAACATTAAGTTTAGGCATATTTCTTGGGTTTTAATTTTGACAAGAGCTCCAGGGTATTATGTCTGGTCCTTGTTTCTCTGAATGTATTTAGGAGTATGTCTGGGAAAATCCATCTTCAGGGTGATGTGGAAGGTGGAGGTCATCTAGAAATTCTCAGCATTCTAAACTCCTTGCTCTAATCTGTACCCCCTCTTACTCCAACACCTCTCCATCTCCCCCAAAATTAAACTAAAACCTATATTAATGTAAAGTTAATTATACTAACATTTGATGATTTGACCAGTTGATAGGCATCTTTAAGGATGCATATTTTGAAAAAATCATTACCACTTTAAATAGTGCTATACATTCAGTGTTATGTTTTGAGGAAAACCAGAGCTCTTTTTTTGATCTACAGCAGCTACTAACCTTGTCATTGAAGACGTGTTAATTAAGCTGCCTGGGTTTGGAGCTGTATGTCACACAAAAACTAAAAGGCTCCTTTTTTTAAAGGCTGCTTTTTAAAAATTTTAATTACTCATTCTGTATTTAATTATTAATTGCCCATTTTCCTTCATAACATTCATCCTTTTTTTAAACAGCTTTATCATTTAATAATTAACATGCAATAAATTTCATGTATGTTTGGTGAGTTTTAAATGCATGCTTCTGTGAAACCATGGCCACAGTTCTGGTGTGGAGCATTCAATCATCCTGTCTTCTTGGCCTCCTCCAGTTGGTGACAGTTCCTTAGTCTTTGTTTTTCATGATGTTGACTGATTTGTAAGTTTTCATTTTGAGTTAACTTACAGATGAGTTGCAAATACAGTTTAGCAAGCATCTATATATCTCTCACCCCACACATTCCCCTGTTAGCATTTGTACTGGGCCTTAGTGCAGTCATCCCAACCAGGAAATTAACATTGGTAACACTGTTAAGTAAAGTCCTCTACCAAACTCCACCAGTTTTTCCATACTGTTTCTTTCTCTTCCTGGATCCCATGCTACTTTTAGCCTGCCTTCTCTAACAGCTCCTCCGTCTTGCCTTTTAAACTTGAAGATCTTGACTTCTGGAGTATAATATGGTTATCATTTGGAGTGTCCTGCAGTTTGAGCTTGTCAGATGTTCCCTCTTTTGCGGCAGGAATGACACAGTGATGCTCTGCCCTTCTCAGGGGCTCCCTCCGCAGGCCCATCACCTTACCATGTCTCAGTACTGGTGACGTTTTCCTTGATCGTTTGCTTAAGGTGCTGCTAGGTCTCTCCACTGTACATTTACTTGTAAGGGGAAACTTTGTGCAATACCAAGTTCTTTATTCTACTTCACCCATGAATTTTAGCATGCTTGGTGAAGGCCTTATAAAAGGCTCTGTTCTTGCTTAAGTGAAAGCCTTAATAAGTGAATTGTGATGCTGGGGATTAAGAAGGAAAGGCTGAGAAGGGGCTCATGGTGGAGAAGCTTGAAACCTGAAGGAAGCATAGAACTTGGAAAAGTGATGGAAAGCCTTCTAGGCAGAGGAAAAGTAACTGCAGAAGTTAGGAGAACAAAGATTGAAACATTTGATGTCTAGCCTTGTTTTCCTTCTCCTATACCTCATTCCCTGACTTTGCCTATGAGGAACTCATTCCTTGTCCTGCCCACTGTCAGAAGTGGACTCTAGTGTGGCTGACCTGAGGTAAAAAGTATGCATTCTTCATTTGTTCAAATTTAACGTTTTTCAAATGGCCATTAGCAGCCATTCATGTGGTTTGGTAAAGATGCCTGACCCTGTGTGTTTTCCTCAGGTTATAAAGTCAGCTCGGGTCATGAAGAAGGCTGTTGGCCACCTGATCCCTTTCATGGAAAAAGAAAGAGAAGAAACTAAAGGGCTCCCTGGCACAGTAGAGGAAGAGGCAAGTCATTTTTTCTAGACCTCGTGGGCCCCGTGAAGGACTGACCTCAAGGACTCTTTCGCGAGTGGGAGGAGGGACCATAGAACTTGACTATGTTTGTCATTGAAGATAAAATAGAGAAATGATCTAACTCTTTTAAGTGTCAGATTGCCCTGGGATTTCCCTTTGAATGTGGCTTAATGAAATTTTTAATTGAACATAACTCTTTAAACAAAGCCTATAATTTCAAGACAAAACTCATTTGTTCATTCATCTGCTGGCCATTTACAAGCTCCTCCTGTGTGCCAGCTACTGCACAGTAGCTACAAAGACTGGTAACTACCCTTGAGGTCACTGAGTAATGTTTGATTTTGGAAAACTTAAATGAATATTTTCTGCATACTGGTAATGTCCTTGGCGCTGCTTCTGGATTCAATTTAATTCTTGTTGGCCACACCACCATAGTGAATGATTAAGCTCTGACTTTGTTTAGCTCCCTGTGAAGCTCATTTAGTTTTGGCCCCTAGGATTCTGAATTTTTTAATTTATCTGCATTTGTGGATGGCTCAAACAGACACAGTGTTTCTAAGGATCCATCCTTGCATGACTTTGTCTTGTCTTGTCTTTTTTGTGTGAGGGAAGGGATGCCGACAGTGCGTAGCACAATAGTGTTGAAGAAACAAGATAGTCAAGTGCCCCTGTGACTGGGCTGTTGTGGTGGGTCAGAGTCTGGTAGGACATACACTGTTCACCAGTTCCTCCTCTCTCTCCCACTACTACTAACAATAAACATGTGTTGACAGCTGTCAGGGGTTAAGGATGTGGTCTTCAGCTATGAGACTATTTTATATTTCACCTTAAACTGTTCTTTGAGGTGACAGAACTCATGACCTTGGTTGAGGCTCCCTGAGCTAGCCAACTAGGGAGCGTCAAACTGCTCGGGCTTACAGCTTTCTACCTGCAGGGGACCTGATTTGGATTCTGGACCCATCTCTGAGGTTGTCTCAGTTGTATTAAATTGCTTTGTGTTCTGACAACTCTGGCTTTAGAAAGCTAAGTGATGTGCCTCCAACTGGCCACAGCAACATTTATCTGCTTGAATTACTCTGCAGGACCCTTACCAAGGCACCATTGTGCTGGCTACTGTTAAAGGCGACGTGCACGACATTGGCAAGAATATAGTAGGAGTAGTCCTTGGCTGCAATAATTTCAGGTAAGTTCAGACTCACCTCTTTCAGTCCCTTTCTTCTTTAAAAATAAAAGCATTTACAGGTAATTATTGGGTTGAATAACTTTATTGGGTAGATTATGGCAGTAAATGTTAGAAATTATCTTTTATTTCTTTTCTTACTGTGTTCTCAAATTTTTGGCATTGAACACACCTTTTGAGGTGATACATTAATTATTTAATCTGTTTTATGTTCGGTAAGGACGAAAAGAGAAGTAAAAAGTATTTAAATAGGGTAAAAACAACTAAGAGGCTTCTTCACAGTTCACTGTGGACCAGAGGCTCTGATAACTAGAACACTGGGTTCCTACCCACAGGCAGCAGAGCAGAGTTTCTTTCTCCTCCCAGTGAACTGCCATATTTTAGAACCAATATCTTAAGAGATTTTGGCTAAATGGAGTTTCACAAGAAGGCTTTGTACAGTTTTCTCTTTTTTGCCTAGAACAGGATGATGCATGGGTCTTGGTAATGATGAAGCTAGATGTTGGAATGTTGTATACAAGTAAAGTCCCTTTCTGTTATCTCATTAACTTTATGAGAGCTGTAAGTCAGTGTATGTTTGGCTCTGATTTCAACATATTCTTTATAATCAAAAAAGCCTGTTAAAACTAATGCCTTCTCTGGTCCACATCCAGCCAACAGTCCTTTTGAGTCACCGACTTCTTTCCAATGTGCTATTTTCTCTGTAGAGAAGAGAGGCTTGACTGCAGCTAAGCTGTGGCCCCTAGAGTTCTCATCTCCTGCTGTCAGGAAACACCTGTCCATTATGTCGCTGCCCCACTGTCAGAATTTTTGTCCTCTGCATTCTGGGCCATTGAGGTACACTGAGAACCACAGCAGAAGGCCAGAGATGGGGAGCCTGTCAGGATGGCACCCTTTCCCTCTGACTGCTTCACAAGTACTTTTGTTTGCCTGCCTGCCCACTGTGAAAGACTGAGCAGTCTCGAAGGTAATTAAAGATGGGGCCATGAGAGGTGAGACAGAGACCTCCTCCCCAAACCACATATAGTATGAAAATATAGTTAATACAACTAATCCTAAAAGAGCAACAGGAACGAAGGCTGCTCCAGACTGCATACACATAGAGAAAAAAGCAGATCTCACAGAACAGGGTGATATACCAAAGCCGTGATCTGGCGAGACCCAAACCCTTTGCCCACCCTAGCTCACCAGTGGGAGGAAAAGAAAATGTCTTTGAGGAGGTAATTGCTGAAAACTTCTCTAGTCTGGGGAAGGAGATAGTCTCTCAGGCCATTGAGGTGCACAGATCTCCCAACACAAGGGACTCAAGGAAGACAACACTAAGACACAATATTAATTAAAATGGCAAAGATCAAGGATAAGGACACACTTATAAAAGCAGCTAGAGAGACAAAAAAGATCACATACAAAGGAAAATTCAATTGGCTAATATCAGAGTTCTCAGCAGAAACCTTACAGGCCAGAAGGGAGTGGCATGATGTATTTAATGCAATGAAACAGAAAGGCCTCGAATGAGGAATACTCAACCGGCAAGATTATCATTTAAATTTGAAGGAGAGATTAAACAATTTCCAGATAAGCAAAAGTGAGAGATTTACCTCCCACAAACCACCTGTGCAGTGTATTTTGGAGGGACTGCTATAGATAGAAGTATTCCTAAGGCTAAAAAGCTGTCACCAGAAGAAATAAAAGCACAGTAAAGAAAGTACAACAATTAATTACTAAGCAGATGCAAGATCAAATCAACTACCCCCAAAATCAGTCAAGGGATAGACAAACAATACAGGTATGATACCTAATATATAACAAATGGAGGAGGAAGAAAAAGATGGAGAAAAAAAGAACCATTAGATTGTATTTGTAACAGCATACTAAGTGAGTTAAGTTAGACTCTTAGATAGTTAGGAAGTTAACCTTGAACCTTTGGTAACCATGAATCTAAAGCCTGCCATGGCAGTAAGTACATACCTATCGATAATCACTCTATATGTGAATGGTCTGAATGCACCAATCAAAAGACATAGGGTCACTGAATGGATAAAAAAACAAGACCTCTCTATATGTTGCCTACAAGAGACTCACTTCAAACCCAAAGACATACACAGACTAAAAGTGAAAGGAAGGAAAAAGATATTTCATGCAACTAATAGGGAGAACAAAGCAGGAGTTGCAGTACTTGTGTCAGACAAAATAGACTTCAAAAGAAAGAAAGAAACAAGACAAAGAAGGACATTACATAATGATAAAGGTGCAGTCCAGAAAGAGGATATAACCATTATAAATATCTGTGTTCCCAACAGGAGCACCTACCTGTGTGAAACAAATCCTAACAAAATTAAAGGAGGAATTGAATGCAATGCATTCATTCCAGGAGACTTCAACACACCACTCACTCCAAAGGACAGATCAATCAGACAGAAAATAAGTAAGGACACAGACACACTGAACAACACATTAGAACAGATGGACCTAACAGACATATACAGAACTCTACACCCAAAAGCAACATGATACACATTCTTCTCAAGTGCACATGGAACATTTTCAACAATAGATCATATACTAGGCCAGAAAAACAGCCTCAGTAAATTCAAAAAGATGGAAATTGTACCAACCCATTTCTCAGACCACAAAGTTATGAAACTAGAAATAAATTATGCAAAGAAAATGAAAAAAATCCCACAAACACATGGAGGCTTCAAAACACGCTCCTAAACCAATGGATCAATGACCAAATAAAAAGAGATCAAGCAATATATGGAGACAAATGACAACAATAATTCAACACTGCAAAATCTGTGAGACACAGCCAAGGCCGTGCTAAGACCAAAGTATACTGTAATACAGGCCTACCTCAGGAAAGAACAATCCCATATAAGCAGTCTAAACTCACAATTAATGAAAGTAGAAAAAGAAGAACAAATTAGGTCCAAAGTCAGTAGAATTAGGGACATAATAAAGATTAGAGCAGAAATAAATAAAATAGAGAAGAATAAAACAGTAGAAAGAATCTATGAAAGCAAGAGCTGGTTCATGGAGAAAATAATCTAAATAGATAGACCCCCCCTATCCAGACTTATCAATAAAAAAAGAGAGTCTATATACATAAACAGAATGAGAAATGAGAACGGAAAAATCACTATGGAAACCACAGAAATGCAAAGAATTATTAGAGAATTCTATGAAAATTATATGCCAACAAACTGGATAACCTAGAAGAAATGGACAACTTCTTAGAAAAATACAACCCTCCAAGGCTGACCAAGGAAGAAAAAGGATATCTGAATAGACCAATTATCAGGAATGAAATTGAATTGGTAATCAGAAAACTACCTAAGAACAAAAGCCCTGGACGAGATGGCTTTTCTGCTGAATTTCATCAAACATTTAGTGAAGACCTAATACCCATCCTCCTTAAAGTTTTCCAAAGAGTAGAAGAGGAGGGAATACTCCCAAAATCATTCTAGAAGGCCAGCATCACTCTTAATACTAAAACCAGGCAGACACCACAAAAAAAGAAAGCTACAGACAGACCAATATCCCTGATGAACATAGATGCAAAAATACTGAGCAAAATATTAGCAAACCAAATTTGAAAATACATCAAGAGGATCGTACACCATGATCAAGTGGGATTCATCTCAGGGATGCAAGGACTGTACAACATTTGAAAATCCATCAACATCATCCACCACATCAACAAAAGGAAGAACAAAAACCACATGACCTTCTCTGTAGAAGGTGAAAAAGCATTTGACAAAATTCAACATCCATTCATGATAAAAACTCTCAACAAAATGGGTATAGAGTACAAGTACCTCAACATAATAAAAGGCCATATATGAGAAACCCACAGCCAACATTATACTCTTAACAGTGAGAAGCTGAAAGCATTTCCTTTAAGGTTGGGAACAGGACAAGGATTCCCACTCTCCCCACTTTCAACATACTACTGGAGGTCCTAGCCATAGCAATCAGAGAACATAAAGAAATAAACAGCTTCCAGATTGATAAGGAAGAAGTCAAACTGTCCCTGTTTGCATATGCCATGATATTATGCATTAAAAACCCTAAAGAATTCACTCCAAATCTACTAGATCTAATACCTGAATTCAGCAAAGTTGCAGGATACAAAATTAATACACAGAATTCTGTTGCATTCCTACAAACTAACAATGAACTAGGAGAAAGAGAAATCAGGAAACAATTCCATTCACAATTGCATCAAAAAGAATAAAATACCTAGGAATAAACCTGACCAAAGAAGTGAAAGACCTATACCCTGGAAACTGCAAGACACTCATGAGAGAAATAAAAGAAGATACCAATAATTGGAAATATATTCTATGCTCATGGATAGGAAGAATTAGTATTGTCAAAATGGCCATCCCTCCTAAAGCAGTCTACAGATTTAATGCAATCCCTATCAAAATACTGAGAGCATTCTTCAATGAACTGGAACAAATAGTTCTAAAATTCATATGGATCCACAAAAGATCGTGAATAGCCAAAACAATCTTGAGAAGGAAGAATAAAGCAGGGGTGATTATGCTCCCCAACTTCATGCTCTACTACAAAGCCACAGTAATCAAGACAATTTGGTACTGGCCCAAGAACAGACCCATAGACCAATGGATCAGACTAGAGAGCCCAGATATAAACCCAAGCATGTATGGTCAATTAATATATGATAAAGGAGGCATGGACATACAATGGAGAAATGACATCCTCTTCAACAATCGATGCTGGAAAACGTGGACCGCTACATGCAAGAAATGAAACAATTGTTGTCTCTTGCCATACACCAGAGTAAACTCAAAAATGGATAAAAGAAGTGAATATAAGTCATGAAACCACAAAACTCTTAGAAGGAAACATAGGCAAAAATCTCTTGAATATAAAAATGAGCAACTTTTTCCTGAACGGATCTCCTCGGGCAAGGGAATCAATAGCAAAAATTAACAAATGGAACTACATCAAGCTAAAATGCTGCTGTACTGCAA